ATGTAATGTATGGTGATTAACATAATTAAAAAAAGATTTTATTTATTTACTTGAGAGATAGAAAGACAGAAATAGCGACAGAGAGCACAAGCGGGAAGGTAAGGGAGAAGCAGGCTCCCCGCTGAGCAAGGAGAGCTGAAGGCAGATGCTTAACTGACTGACCCACTCAGGAGCCCCCAAAATAGCTTTTAAAGATACAATGCTTAACATGCATATAAAGTGAAAAAGCATTTCAACCGTACTATTTAATCTACATAATTCGAGATACTGTAATTGAGCAGTCTCATATAACTTTAAATCATTTCAGTGTGGTTAATATTTTTTTACCTACCAACTGCTAGGTATGTTAAGTGATATATACAGTCCTTAATGAAAATATCAACTGAATTCTGTTTTTATATTTTAAAATTATGCTCTTATATTTATAAAAGAATAGAAGGAAAAGATTGCTTCTAACTGCAATAATACAAATAAAAATTTGCTAAATGGAGAAAAAAATCATTTTCAATAATTTAAATGTTTGAAACTCTTGGTATTACCCCACTTTTTAAATTATGAAAATATCAGAGGATACTCCATGAAAATTTAAATACTACAATAAACCAGTTGTCCAGATGTCTGAAAATAAAAACCCTGGATAAACTATATATATGCCCCAAACTTGACTGCATAATGACAAGTAGGCAAGAAACTGGAGATTTCACTTTCTTTGCCATAGCTGTTAAAATAATTACCCTGTCTTTGTTAGATGACAAAACTCAAGCTATACCAAAATGGAATATACTGAAATGAGAAAGTATAACGACATGGTAAGTCAACCAATCTAAAATATAATAAAAAAAGAAAAGACTACATTTTAAAAAGTAGTGATAGAACTTTTAGAGGCTGATACTTTCTCTAGAAGACAGGACAATTTTACTTTGTTTCTAGTCCTCCATACTTTTTTTGATTAGAAATGTCTTTTACTTTCCTTTAAGTGATTCTTAGTATGCTCAACTGTTAATTATGGGGGGGGGTTGTTATAGAATACATAGAGGAGTGATGATTTAATTTAACCTACGTGTAAAAGAAAATGCTACTTTCTTTGATGTCGTTTTGGAGGGCAAGGGAGGAAGAGGAAGCTTTTTGTCATGCTTATTTCCAATGTTTTGGCAGGGAATATAACAGAGTACTGACAATATATATAGCATACTAACACTTACATCAATATCCACTTCTTCAGGTCTGTATTTATATAATGTGCCTCTACATTCATCTTGTGACAGCTATAGGAAAAAATGTCAGGTAGCAAGTTTAAAAATAATATTTAAAAAATATACTTAGCCTATGTTAACATTTTAGATTTATATAACAATAACAAAAATGGGATTTTAATGATTCTTATACTTTAAGAAATTTAATTCAAACACAGATCATTACAAAAGCAGAAAAATATTTAACAGTGATACAATATGCAAGATACATAAAAATGTTAACTTAAGCTTGTCAAACAAAATAATAACTTGGTCAAACAAATTATAAAGCACCTTACATTTTCCATTTGTAAGACACACATTATTTTAATGAAAAATTGACAAATACAATCATAGCAACTGTATTGAATCAAATATTCAAACCAGGCATATTTCAGCAGTCAAAACCATCCTTCACGGTATACACATTAATTACACAACTGTGTATGTGTACACTCAAATGCGAACACATCTTAGTACAACTTTATTAACAAAACCCATAACATACTGTATACATATACATAATATATAAACACACATACACAATATAAACTTATCTTGTTCTTCTGTCTTAAGAACTAAAAGATAATGGGGGAAAAGGATGGGTTTAATTGAAAAGAGGAAACTCATTCAAAACCTCATAAAACTGAAAGCCTATGTTGTAAACTATGGCTAGTCAAATTTCATGAAGAGTTTATATGTGTTCATTGACACCATTTGTCTTATGATACTACAAGAAATTACTGCTTAGTGCATTTAAATATCCTTTCTTTGGCTTCGTCCCAATATCTTTTGGTCAAACAAACCTTCACTTCTGCTTGTGTTAATCAAGATTTCAAAAGCCATCCCTGTCAGTGATACCACAGGCAACATCATAGCCTTTGCAGGCAATATTTCATGCTCTCTTGTCTTTTGACTTTATATTGACTGCTAAGACAGTAACAAAAACATAGCAGGAAAAATTTACTTGGGCTCACTGCATATTTACTAAATGGCACACTTCTTCTCTAAGTGGGGATGGGAGTAATGTATCCCCACTACATTCTAGATTGGAAAATTAAACTTCACACAAACACATATAAATGAATAAAAATGATAAAAAAGTTATAACTATATATGCCCACTGTAAAAAACTGCTTGCCAGTTACATCTTTAGAAGGAGACATAATTGAAACAGTAAGTATCTTTGGATGGATCTAGAAATGTGGGTATCAGGAGGTTAAAAATGTAAGCATTACAAACATACAATAAGAAATCCTGGATTTATGTGTTTCATTTCAAGACATTACTTTCACGTCCTCATGCAAATGAATCTGTGACTATTTAAGGATATGCAGTGATCAACAAAACTTTCATAGAAATGAATTACCACATGAAAAATGAATTTAATGACAAAAGTCAGAATACTTATGCACTATTTTAAAATAAAGTCATTGAATATGTCCTAAGAAGTGTCAATTGTCTTCTAAATTAAAGCACCTAGATCCAAGAAAATAATTTGTACTCTTATCTGAAAACAAAAGTGATGAAAAATAAGTTTTAAAATGCTTAGATCCATGATAAAAAATTAAGATAATGCCAAAATTAAATTTTCTCATTTATAAGAAGTTAGAGATGTAAAGCCTTTAGCTCCTAAATGTCAAAACACACTTTACTTAATATTTAAAGTTAAATGCAAAACAGCTTTACTAAACCAGGGAATGTAAAATTTTGATGTAACTAGTGGATAGTGCTACACCTAGATTAAAATATGAATTGTATCTTCTATCCCAGGGTCAACAGAAAAAAGCCTAGTATTTTAAAATGGAAATTTAGCAATGTGTAATACAAATTTAGGGTATTGGTATACTATTTGTATTTAGGGAATCTTACTGCATATTCATTTTCACATCAGTTGGGAAATTAATAAAAAATGTGTACTGTGTTGTTACAGTTTAAGAGTGATAGATCCTTATAGCCATATAAATATACTGCACAATACATTAGATTTATTTTGTTTTCTGTATTTTTAGTACCACTGAAAAATCTATTTAAACCTTTTATCAAATTATTCAATAAAAATATTCATTATTAGACACTAACAAAATCTTAATATAATCAGCCTTCCACTATACATTGCTTTTACCTATCAGAAGAAAAGAATAAGGAAACAGGATTATTCTTTAAATAATTAACTTTTAAGCATGGCCTATTTTTCATTACTGATAATAATTACTGAGGCTTTTCTAAAGAAAAAATGGATATAGTTTATTTAAAAAATTTCCACCTAGATTTGAAGAAGTGTGCTACTTAGTCCTCATTATGAAAATCCTACTAATAAGAAAAAAGTCATTTCATGAATATTCTCATTAAGTTCTGCCTAAAATGTTTCATGGTAATACTTTTTTATCATTTTTCAAATTCATCTTTAGCAAAAGAAAAAAAAGTTCTGGGTTTGAATACCTTTTTCTGAAGTACCTTAGCAACACTAGAAAAGCAAATGAAAATGGGCTATGTAGAATTATGAAAGGTTGAGCAGTGGTCAAGCTTCAATTTGAGAAGTGTATTATACAGACTTTATTGACATACATGTAAGGATATGTGCTTTATTTAGAAAGCTTTTTCATAATAAAATATCTAACAATATTTAAAAACACTGGGTTGGCATTAGGTTAAAACAAAATTACTTTTGTTAATCAAAATATAACTTTCTACAGTATCCCTTTTAAATATGTATGTATATATTTAAAAATTTATAAATAAATATATATATATATAAACCCAAAAAGGATTTTTGGGGAAATAAATTTGATAAAATTAGACATTTTATGAGGACTCAAAAATGCTCACAGGACTGCAGGTATTTGCTAATATTAGTCTGTACCTTTAAAAAATAAATAATATTTATTATTATTTTATAAAAACTCTAGTACAAAAATGTAATTGTGAAAGATGGTAAAATGATTAATACATGTAGAGGAATTTTTCAACACAACGTGGATTGATTTAGCATTTGTTTTGATTCAGTTTTACGTCCTTTTTATATTACCAATTCTAAAAAATTCCCACATACGTAATTTTTCAGGTGTCCTCTTTTTCCTAAGAAAATGCAAACATAAAGTTTCTCCTGCAAGAAAACCCAATGGCTATGATTCAGAATAACAGGTCATAAAATATGACAGTGCCACCTTATTTTCAGGTGTATTTCAGGAACCTATAACACAGCACTGTAATGCAATGTCTGAAGCAAACTGTTAAGAGTGTACAATATAAACTTCCATGAAGATTTCCTTTGCATAATAACACAGTAACAGAAATCTGAAGAAAAAAATAAGATTTAATTTCAATTTAGGCAAATTAATAATATAGTTTAGGAAGTGTGTCTGAAGGTCACTGTTATCCACCAGTGGTGCCCTGTAACATTTAAGTACTTTATTAATGGCTGATTTTTAAAAAAGGACTGCCTGAAGACACCCCAACTTGACAGGACTGAGAGTCAACACGGATTACCTGGTGATTGGTTGCCTAGCTCATGCCCAGGAATGGCTGCTGATGTTAGCCATTCAAATTTTTCTGTTTTGTACAATTTTAAGTTTTTTTCTTTCAAGTATTCATATATTTAATAAGGAAATATAATAATGAGGAAATATATTTATATAAATCTATAGGTCTGGTCAGTGACACCAGTATATAAGACCACTCTCAGATATCGCCACACTTTTGGAAAACTCCAATTAGAACTTTTAGTGCAACTGAGTAATTTCAATCAGCAATGACTTCTGCATCATCAACCCTGATTACTGATCAATATAAAAAAGAAAAAGCAATCCAAACCAAACTGAAAACCCACAAATGAAAATATACAAAATATGAAAAGTGAAAGTATAACCTATTACAACAAAATGCCTTTGATCTCTTGTCATTTAGCCTTACATAAAATGATGAAGTGACAGCTTCAGATACTGAGAAAGGTATTAATTCCAGGACAAGGGCTAAAGGTTCTCAGCAGTGGAATTTTGGAATGAAGTGTCAAGGTTCTGTAATCTGGTTACTTTAAAAATACAAAGATTTCATTTTCTTTTGAAAAGTAAAGCTGTTTAACTTTAAATATTTAATACTTTGTTTCTTTATTGATAGAAAACTTTGTTCAGAAGTAAGAGTCACCTCACCCTCCTACCAACTGTTTCAAGGCCCATCCATGATGCTGATCCCAAGACGACTAAAGCAAACCCGAGGCCTGTAAAGCCAGAGAGAGTTCAAGGTGCTTTTTCTTTTTTCTTTTTTTTTAAATAGGTGCTTTTTCATATTTTAATAAAAATACATTCATTTTTCATGTTAGTTAATTTTCTTCTTCTGTATGAATTTTAATTATAACAGGTCATAGGCCACAGTAATTTGAAGGTGTTGAAGTGGAAGAAGCTGATGTTGCAAAACACACAGCTAAGAACATTTAGACCATGAAATACAAAAAAATCGGATAGGAATGTATAAAATGACTTCTTTTGCAGATCTGCAGATTACCAAGCTCCTAAGGGTAAAACCAGCCAGCTCCATGGCACATATTTTGAGTTAGGGAAAAGAATGAGGTAAGATGATGAATATGATGGCATAAGAATGTAAGAATACAGGGAGAAGATATTCCCAGTAGGTCAAGAAGTGGCTATCTTTAGGTCTTACTATACCACAGTACAGAAACTAGATTTAAATAACTCCCATATAAATATTATCTATTCCTAAAACAGTATGGTGGGGTAGGGTGGGATGGGGGCTGCCCCTAAAAGGAAAAAAAATTTTTTTTAACTTTTCCCTAGAAATCAGTTCTAATGCTTTTAGAGTTAATCGAAATTAATGGCAATCTTGTAAAAATTTTGCAAATGTACTGCAGACCTCCAAGTACATATCAATCAAATACTCTGCACAAAAACTTCAGGAAAATGGCACACTTAATATTCAACAGCAAAATGTTCAGCAAAGCCATGCTAAGAATACTGCAGCATCTTAAAAAGCATGGATGAATTGCACTTTTCCAAATAGACAGAAACAAAAAATGAAAT